GAGCTCTCGAGAAAGTGACACGACTCGTGGTATCGACGAGAGAAAATGGCCAGGAGCCGAGCCCGCCTGGCGAATCGACAGCACCTGATCACCCCCCCTAATCATCGCAGCACGTGTCCCGTGAGAAAATGACAACCCCGATCGCGACCTCCGCGTTTAGAGAATTGTTTGTCTTGGACAGAGATGACAGGGATTACAAATTATCATGTTACAATGTATCGTGATTGATGCTCTGGGCAGGTTTTTTTTTTAAAGCCTTACATGAATCAGGATGTGGCTTCTCCTCTGCCACCATCAGGGCTGCGCTCTCTGCTGGCGGTATGTGTCCCTCTAATGCATTCACACAGTTTAGCATGCTCCTGTAAAACATCACGCGAGACTTGTCCAAATTTCCACACTTCTTTAAATCACATTTTTGTTTTTGATTCTTTTGTTTTGTTTTTTTTTGTTCTTTTCTCTCCTCATTATACAAATTCTTGTTCGGAGCACCGGCTCGATACGCAGCGTACAAAACACACGGCGAATTTGCGGCTTAATCTTATATCATTCGTGCCGTTCATTTATATTAATTGCTCCCGCTCGGGTCCGACGAGCCACGAATCTCGTGGAGCGAGCTAACGCCGTTATTTACGATTTTACTGACGAACTTGCCGGATGTTACCATATGCTGCAATCAGTGATCAGCTGAATTATTAAATACGATGATACGTGATATTTTGAACAATGATTGATGATTAAATGTAGGAAAGATAAAATAGCTACACAGATGCGAAGAGAAACTTAAAAGATGCGAGATTTACGACGGGAAAATGTAGATTCGTCTTTAGATCGCGCGATCTGAGATCGTTACAGGACGGGATAATAAATGCGAGAGAAACGATCTCGCCCCGCGCTCCTGTAAGCCCCGTCTCGGATGAGACACGTGGATAGTTATCGTTAGGTAACCCGAAACTGTTGACCGTTTCCGTCAACCTGGGGCAAACTGAATTCACTTCTCTCCTCCGCCATGGCCGCGCGTAACGATTATTCGTAAAATCACGGAGGCATGGATTCGGAGATCCGTGGATCCACTAGCCGAGGACGGATTCACGGATCTTGAATCGCGTAGCTGCCGCAGCTGCGGATGCGGCGCGTGTTACACTCGGCAATGCATATGTATACGTAACGATTCATTTCACAGTTTCTAATCTTGTACTATTATACAGCGTTTTCACTGGCCTGTGTAGTAGAAATTGGCGTATATACTTGCTAAGAATCAAACATTATTATTCGGCAGCCTGTGTGGCAAGTTACACTCAACGGAAACTCATCGAGGCGATCTCCCACCGGAAGGGTCAAACGAAACGCCCGTAATTTCGACAAACGAAATGATAAGACACACACACATATATTTACATATCTTTTAGTGCAGAAGATACGATTTCTCGGCGGTGGTGTCGCCGCACGTCGGCTTCGCTCCGCCGCTACTCGCCACGGGAAATGAAAGACGATCCCGATCGTACGTCGCGCGTCAGGCGTAACACGAATGGCAGGAAGAAACTCAATCCGGATAATTAAATAAAGGAACAGATTTATTTTACAGCATTCAAACATAAATTTTACGGTCGTATTCGGTGATGCCGAAATATTCGTTAATATATAATGCTAACGAGCAGTCTCGAGATCGAAGTTTATTACGCGAATTACACAATGCGTATCGATTAACAGTTTCACACTATAGTGAGTACTACAAGTTCTCGTGTCGTCCGATATATAACAGTGTGTATAGATTAATAACAGTCTGCGACTGAGGCGCCAGTCTTTTGTTCCGAATAAACGGCCGATTGCTGATTACGAGTATTCTCATGAACGTTTAGATTTATAGCTTATCGGTAGCGTGGGTATGGTTGACAGTGGTGGCGTCAGATAGGACGGTCTCCTTGCTAGAGTTAGTGGCGAGCTCCTCTTCCCTGTAAGACAACAACGTTACATGGCAATCGAGCCTCGAATCGTTTCAGCTTTGGTGTCGGAGAAATCCTATTTATTTTCGCGCGAATCCGCACGTGTCACAAGAGTTTCGTTCACTAAGATGCAACCTACACGGACGAATAGAAAGAAAACCTTTCAACTTTCCCCCCCCCCCCCTCTAACGTGTCCTCGTCGTATCTCCAACTATCGCAGCCGAGCTCTACCGTTCGCTTGACGTCTCTAAAACGTACTCTCCGAATAGCAGTCAGAATCGATAAAACGTCTCAACGATAAAACGAATGCACAAGATAAAGTATGTACGCGGAGAGGACTGTCCCTTCAAATTTATCCTGAGAGTCGTGTAATCGTGGAACAACGTCCCACAATTATCTGATTTTCGGGGTAAATTTTAAGAGAAAGTTCTCTCCGCGCACGATCTATGTCTAAGGCTGAGATCCTAATTGAGAGCATAGCGATATATAAGTAAGCTACTTATTAAAAATTCAATCTAATTTTGAACATGTCGGCTTCAATAGAGCGAATCGTTACACGCGCGGCGTAAAGTTTTATAATTATTTTTCGCCGAGCAAATAATTTCTTGAGCTTCTACCGCCCCGAGATTTTTTCCCTTTATCGCAAGATAAAGAGTATTCTACGGACCGGATTATCAAGTTGCACTAACTGCGGTCAACTACATCCCCTTTCCCAGTCAACAGATAGGTAGAACTGTAAAATAAAAGGAAAGTCGAGTGACGCGCTAACGCAAGACCAGTTAAATCAGATTGTCAAGATACAACTCAGCATAAACAGTTGCTTTAACATTGTTACAAGCTGCAGAGCGATCGTATTGTTAGTTTGTTACTCATTAAGCAAACAAATTTACAGGCGAGTGAGTAAAACACTTAATATTTATATCTTAAATTCTCCATCACCATTTCTTCGCTTCCGAAAGCTTTTCCTGCGGTAAATACAAACGTGTTAAAACGCGAAAAAGCTCGCAATGCATTATCTTCGATCCAATATTAATTACCATCCAATTATAAGCACGATAACGTTACGCTGACGCTTTTTCAATTATCTCGTCTCGAACCAAACAGATCGAAGAAATTTTCGCTAAATTATGATCAGCTATCGACTTCGCTACCCAGACGGGGAGGATTCCTGCATAAATTGTTGATGAATGTTTCGGCAAAACCTTGGTCGAAAATAAAAGTAAAGGAGACAAAACCAGAAGGAAACCAAAAATACGTCTCGGTATACGAGTTTATCCAGAGCTGCACTGATCGAAATAAAGGAAAACTTGCCGACTGGCATCGCAGAAATTAATTAAACGCAATTATATCGCCCGCGATGTGTACACGACGACGAACGGCGGTATAAAACGATGCAAAGCGGCGATTTCTGTCGCGTTCGTTCAGCTTCTGTTAAAATTAACTCTCCATTTTCAAGATTTCAATATAATTGTGATGGACTTCTGGCTCTCTCCAGATCTCTGGAGTTCCTGAAACATTTCTCAGAAACAGACTTTACAACAATTCTAACTCCATGTCAGATGATTGCAATTTTTTTTAGAATCCTCGTTTCAAGAATTTTACCAAAGAGTACTAGAACTCAAATTGATTCTAATTGGGTTAAAAAAAAGGAATTTTTCGAACAGCGACGATATGAAATTAGCGCGCCGTATTTTCAAATCTTATTTTCCGAATGGCAGATCGCTTTGAAGAAAAGCCACAGCTCTACGAATAGAAATTGCGAAAGTGGGGCGTTAAATTTACAGAAGTATCCTGGCTCGGCGATCACAAACACGTTTGTGGTATCGTATCTCGTAACACAACTCAGGAATCACTTTGGTACGCCAAACAGTAACGTAAGCACTAACATGCAGTCGCACAGTACAGCGCCATAAATCTCGTGCCAACTATCGACATAAAAAACTGTTCCAAGACTGCCTGTCGCCGAAACATTTAACTGGGCATTGTACGTACGCTAAAAGGAGCATGCTGTAGAATACAAGGCTCCAGGAGGAAGTCAAGTGATCGGGGCTGTTATGTACGTGTGAGCTGAACCGCGGCGTACGCGGAGGCAAAAGTTTCCTCGTGCGTTTCCCGGATACGTGATGTATGCAGATGCGCGGATATACGATCGGAAAGATAGTAAACACGACAATTTATTCGAGGTAAAAAAAAAATAGGGTTCCCGAACGGCGGTGATAGAGTGCGGAATTATGCGGACGTCGTCCTCGGGGTGACCGCGCGGCGCATATAGTGTTACGTATATCGATTACATAATAGCCCTGACGAACTTTTAGAAACTGTGAAATGTATCTCCACAAAAGAAAAACGAACAATTTATATATGGTAACAACTTATGTTCATGCAGCTATATGTATGTATATCTGGTTTCTCTTGGCCAGCCTGACTGTTTGCGCAGTAATAAGAGACGGAGACTCGCATTAGCTGATAGTAAAGATGTTTCGACATGCCAGGCCTTTGGATTAAAGTCATGGTAATCGCGTGGCCGGGTCAGGATTATTTTTTAAACAGTTTCACCAGCGGTCGTTCGCGTAACCGTGTCTCCCAAGCGACGATACGCGAAGTAAGAATGGCGAGACAAGAAGAGACAGGAGAGGATGCTTATTTCGATTTGTCTTCTGCCTCTCTTCTGCATTTTAATGCTTCCCGACATCTGTGTGAGACGGCTTTAAGCCAGCTTTCTTTTTTTGCGGAGAAAGATATTTTACTTGCACACTGAAGGATTACGGGTGTTTTATTCAGCGCATAAAAAATAATCCCTCTTTTGGATGTAACTAGTGGTGTCTTTGGTCATTTATCTTCATGCAGTTAAGTAGTAATCGGTATGTTCGGTATAATATATCTCGTAACAAAGCCACCACAGTAACAGGAAATGTGTAGTAGCAGGACTCACCCATAAAGTCTGCTGTCCCGCAAGCTGCTCCTGCTCCGAATAACACAGAAAGCACAGTTACGATATATCGAACACAGTAGTCGGTCATCGTAGTAACGAAACACGGAAAATCAACGAAAATTATCCAGTTATCCAGAGAACCATGAAATAATTGATTTATTAAAATGATACATGTACAGAGTAAACGTTAAACAAACAGAATATATCCATTTGGCCTTGAAAATATAACAATAAGACAGCGAAATGTCCAACTCGCGACTCGAACGGATAGCTTGTCTCTTACACATAATCTGAGAGGGATCGCAATGCCGTTTGAGAACTCAAATAAATCGGCGTTTCACATGTCCGATGGTCTTTCTAATGCCGAACAGAACGGACGCGCGTTTTTCTCGCGATCCTCTCCCGGAAATCTAACAGAATATCGTCTGAACTGCTAAGAGGATCAACAGCGAGATAGGCTGATTTGTACTTGGTTCGCAATATTCCGCAAATGAGATAGAATTACGTTCTGTGGTGTTTTACACTTTTCAAAAACTAATAACCTACGGATACTGCTCCACTTTTTTTTACGCTTTTCTCGTACAATAATCTCGTTACATGACTCGCAATGTCGTGCACGTTATCTCTTCTACTTACTATCGATTAGTGTTGCGTCTTATTCGTAAATATATGTAAAAATGTACATACTTTCCTTGCAACGACTTAAACGAAAGGACTTGGAAATATCGGGATTTGCAATAAAGAGAAACCAAGCACGTGACGAATGTTGAAGGCGAAATTTACAAACTACTTTAGCCTGTACTTAAATATGTACAAATAATGTTCCCGTACAAGTAGAACTTAATTCCTCTCCCTAAAAAAATGAAATTTTATCACAGTTCAATTCCTGTTATTGCTTCGAACAAGCAGCGATGCATGCAAAAATGCGTAGCGTAATGCACTATCCCGGGAATAGATAGAATTATAATACAATAGAGAGAATATATATTAATCGTATTAATAAATTATAAAATTCTTTCTTCAAGATTTCAGAAATTTCCCTATTACAAGTATAACGAATAGCTTTTCGTTATCGAATATAGACGGACGGACGAACGTTCGGACGGATGTGATAACAGTACATTGTACACGGCATATAGGATAAGTTTATCTAAATCTTTCTAAAACTCTCTTCTCCTCGTGCAATTAACGGTTGATAAATTGTGCGGTTTATTAGTTCGAAAGTGTGAATTTCGATTCCTTTGCCTAACTTGAAAACGTACCCAATATGAGTCGAGTTAAAAAAGAAACGGGATACAGATTGAGAGAGGGGGGGGGGAGGGGCTATCGCGGATTTAAGCTATACATACGTATATACATGTCTATAGATATACCAGAGACCTCCTTTTGAAAGAAACTAAAGAGAGGCGGATGCAGAATATACCCAACTATGTATATAACATTTTGCTATTATGGTACGTACTGGGGAAGGTAGTAAGTTGCTTATGTGCTGCATACCTGTCGTTACCATGCCTGAATAAAGCTAGAATCTCTTCGAATGTTTTATTCTTGGTCTCAGGAACCTTCTTGTAGGTGAAGATCCAGAAGATGGCTAGAAATGCACTGAACGGTAGGAACGTGTAGTTTTCAAGGCTACTCTGTAACACACAAACGCGCGCGCGCCGCAAGTTTATATGAGGCACCCAACGCGATTACGCCCTAGGCAATCCGTTACGCTCCAAGTAATGTTAATGCGGCAATTATGTGTAACGTTAGCGTACTTTTCCGTTCAATTATTTGCAATCATTCGATTATATAATTCTTCGTCTCGCGAACGAAGGCAATTCGCTCAAAAGGAATCGGCAATTTTGTCGTATCTTACCTTCATGCTTGGAAAACCGATGCCAACCAAAAAATTAGCCATCCAATTGACGAGAACCGCGATGGACATGGCGGCGGGTCTAGGGCCTTGCGAGAACAGTTCCGCCGTGATCATCCAGGGTATGGATCCGGGCCCCACGGCGAAGAACACGACGAAGCACAGGGTCGACACCACCGAGATGTAGGACATCCAGTCGATCATTTCCTGCACATAGCCGAAGAACTCCTATCAGGCAGTAGAAACGTGTTCTTCTTTCCTGAGCAGCTGGAGGAGCCCCAGGAAAAATAAAAAAAAACGGCAGGCCAGAAACTTAATCGAAAAAAACTCGGATAACACGTATGCGTAATAATTTGTAATGCCGCATGCGGTGCGCAGCTCAACCCTGTGTAATGAAAGGCATTGGCATTGACAAAGTGATTGCGGCAAAGTATTTTGTATAATGACGGAGTGCCTTGTTATGTACAGTACAATCTCTCGTTAAGCGGTGAAGCACGGTACGCTGCTTTCCATGATGAGTGCCAGGATTTGCTTTGACCTCAATTAGAGTATAGATAATGCGATTAGTCGCGTACGCACGGGACATTCATGTGCAAGCAATCTCGAATCGGGATATCTTAGTATTTAATTCATTCGATAGCCGTACAGATCTTTCCTTAAATAATTTCCCCTACGTGAAAACAACCGTTCTCATAATTTCGGCGAGATGCAAATTTGTACACGACGGCTCTTGTAATTATCAGTACAAGTGATTGCCTACCGGGAAACAATACCGAAAATTAGTCTTCGAATGCCATAACGTATGAAAGGTGCTAAACGTTTAACGGGTCTTCAGCAGCTGAAGAACCGTTAAATTTTACACATAACGGAGATAATTGATATATGTATATTAGAGACTACGCGCGTAACATGTTAATTGTTGATGTAATGTGATACATAGAGAGTGACAGGTTTGAGCCAAGTAGAGAACATAGGCTGATTAATAAACGGGAAGTAAATATCTCCTCCAGACAGTCACGAAAGAGGTCGTTAGTAGTGAAGGGGAGGGAAGGAAGCGGATTATCGAAAAGCAAAACTACTAGTAAGCCAGAGAGAACAAAACGGCGTGCGATATACGATACATGCGACACTTGACGTCTCCTCTCAAAATTTTGTTTTATTAATCACACGTCTAGCTAGGAGACTCATTTAACATTAAACGAACAAAACAATTGTTAAAAATGTTCTCGTAGCTTGGAAAATTGTTTCAATGAAAAATTTATACACGTAGTGCACGTATACGTGTCCATGTATCGAAATGTAAAGTCTCTACGACGCAAATGAAAAAAAAACGGCATGCGGGCAAAGGACGTGACTTATTGGCTACATGAATGGCGGGGAGAAATTAAAATGAGTCGATTCTGTGATGCAAATTCGTATAGATATAATGGTGAATTCTCACTGTCGGTGCAGTGCCGCACTCCAGCTGTGAACAAAGTGTTAAATACACCTTTCGCCAAGGTGCATAAAGTGTCAAAGCACAGATACGTAGCAATTCACGTTCTTTGTGATGCGATTTTCCTGAGTAAAGCACAGTTCTTAACAGTACGGAGAGGTATCAACGAATAAATTTGTCATTGTCAATGAAATCTCCATCTCCCATCGGATACATTTCCAAAAATAGAACGATACAAACTATTTTATTAAAAATTTGTCAAAATTGAAGTTAAAGGAAATCTGATTTTGTTTAAAATTTTTAAAGCTCTTTGAAGAATCTAATTCAATGCGAAAAGAAAACATACGTCTCTACGATTTTGAGATCTTCCAGATTCCTGGCAGTTCACCCTCTTATAATTAATATATATATACAAGTTGTACTTTTAATTAACAAAAGCTCATATAATGAATATTTGCGAAAAAGATCAGTATCCAAATATTCCAGTAATATTGAATTATCATTCTTCAGACAACACTACAAATTGTCAAGCAACAAGAAAATTTCAACGTTAAATTGCTCGCTACAGTTTAGCATTAAAACAAGTACGATAAATAATAACACATCTGATGAGAGCGCGCTAAAATTTCAACTCACCTTTATGAGAAACGAAATTGTGATGAATATTGAAAAGATAAACATGCCACCGAGACCGTACAAGTGCAACGTACGCCTTCCTGTCCTATCCATGAGTGGGATGGACACTAGCGTCATACAAACCATGATGGCACCTATGCCAATGGTTGCAAACTTGGCACTCTCATCCGTTAAACCAGAACTAGTGAACAGATTCGTGGAATAATAAAATACCTGGAAGGCGCAAGAATTCTCAATCAGGTCACTCTAATTAAGGAAATTGTGATTAACGAGATGAAAACGGGAGGGAAATAGTTACTTACGGCATTGATACCCGAAAGCTGCTGCGAAAGTTGCATAACCACACCAATAACGAGAGGTGCTCTTAAAGTTGGACTGCATATAAGCTCTGTCATCGATATCGTGGACTCAGCTTGTTGAGCTCGTTCCTCCGCTCTCATCTCCTCAATGTCTTCTTCTACTTGGTTACTGGCTCTCAACCTTCTCAAAGCTTTCCGAGCCTCCTCCTCCCACTGTTTAGTAATGAGCAAATATCTGAAATAATTTTTCTTGCATTAATAGACTGTGGTAACGCTTGCGCACACGTCAATTACAATACAAATCAAGAAACCGTATGGTATATAGAAAATCGTGGACGCGTATTTTATTATCGTTGAATCCCCCGATCGAGCTGTTCGAGGAATCTACTTGAGAACATTCGGAGAAGCAAGATTACTTATATCTACAATTCTACATTATTTCCGACACACACCTTGGAGATTCCGGGCAAACTGGAAGCAGCAGTAGCTGTAGAATGGCAGGACAGATAGCTAGTCCTAAGAGAACGGGCCAACCCTCGTTTGTTCCAAGGATTTGCTCGATGCCCAGCACCTGGGAGACCAGGAGGCCCACCGTAACAGCGAGCTGGTTCACCGTGCCCAGGCCGCCTCTCAGGTTCAATGGCGCTATTTCCGATATGTACATGGGAACCAACGAGGTGTTCAAGCCACAATTGACACCGATGATGAACCGTCCAAAGAACAACATCTCGTACGACTCGGCGAGCTTCGTGAAACCCATCAGGCACGCCCCCACGATGCCCAGCACGTTGTTTAGCAGTAAGCCTCCCTTTCTACGATTCAAGGCAGAAGGCCAATATTAATTTCTGTCTCTTTCCATTTTACAATTATATGCAACAGTCATTATTCTCCCAGAGATTTCCAAATTACGGGAACGTTACCAAGTATTATTAAAAATTCTGCGTAATATCGAATTATAACGTATTTATTTATCAAAAATACCGGTTCGAAAGACAGACCATGGGAGAGAAAACGCGAGTATTATAATTTAATGAAAATAAGGTAGTATAATTTGGAAAGCACTGGCCTCTCGTTAAGATCGTGCGAGGCTAATGCGATACTGCGGAATCAGGCACCGACCTGCCAAATCTGTTGGCAATTGTCCCTCCGCTGAAACCACCCACCATACCACCGATCGCGAATATGCTTACGGCCACGGAGTACAACGTCTTAACAGAATCGTCCGAAATGTCCTCCCCATATCTATCCTTGTACACATCTTTCATAAAATTCTCTATATTCTGCAAACAATTTCAACACAATATATTATGCAAGCGTTTCGCTCATCAGAATTGTTTGAGACGCGTATACCACACAGAGCCGTGACTTTACGTTGATAGACGTACCACTTCAGGCGCGTTAATCACTCCAGTGTTGTATCCAAACTGCAACATTCCCAATACGGCTGCTAGTATCGCGTACGACAGGAAAAGCGTCAGTCCCTGTAAATACCCGGACTTATCGTTTGCGTATGAAATATAATTGTCGACGTACATATTGCCAATGTGCGTTACGTACGTAGCATTCGGTACAGCCACATATGCGATGTAAATAATAAGAGGGAAGGAAGTGCCGCTAACGGGATGCATCGTAAATGCAAAATAAAATAAAAATGCAAGAGCGTACAGGGTTATTTCACAATTTTATTAACAGCATCGTACACGCGCTGTCGGTGAGACTCCGTACAACGCTGAAGAAATAAAAAAAAATCATAAATCACTTAAAAAAAATTAAAACACGCACACATACACGATCATCCGTGACGATAGCAACTCAAGTTCTTAAGCGTAACGAAAGTAGACAAGATAAAGAAAAGCAGCATTATCTAACGCCAGAAATCACCTGCTCCAAGAGCCTAAGTTTCCGCCGATGGGAGTGTTCTTCCAGTCGATTCACGTACTCTCGTAATTCCTCTATCTCTTCCTTGACCTGCTGTACCGTATCTAGTTCTTGCTGCGTGTCAAGAAAAAGAACACCTCAAGTACCTCCGTACATACCAAATGCAATTTTTACATTATTGAAAGAGCGGTAAAACGCTCTTTCAATAACGCAAAGAATTTATATTCTTAGGCATGAAACTTGCTATTAATCTATGTAACTTTAATCTTTTTCCCTCGGTTTTCTCGACTGATACGCGGTGACTTATCGGTTCGTCTCTTACGCGTATCGAACTATCGCAATATGACGTATTAATATTATTATGCTGCAATCTTTACTTTTAGATAAATAAAGCAAACAGTCTCTTCGAATTTTTTATTGTTTTTTTTTACTGTTGGGAAAAATTATGGAATCGTCTCGTGGCTATTCTTTTGTCGTATTTTAAAGAGATATTAAGATGCATTTTTCACATTTAACGTCAATATTGATACAATATCTAGTTTAAAAGAAATGGCCCCTTAAATAAACGCATTCTACTTTGAGTAAAGCGTTAATTCAATCCCGTTTAAAGCGAGATTTTCATTCGTGCATCCCAGTCCGTCTCGATATCCAAAATTGAGATCACTTTAGATAAATCGATCTAAATCGCGAAAAATAGACGCGGGTCAGATAAAGAGTACCTTAATCGTGACCATGTCCCGTTTCACCTCGCTGACCTCGCTCTGACACGACTCTACGCTCTTCGTGAGCTCCTGCAGCTGCGTGCGGATCTCACAGAGAGCGACGGTGGTCTCCAGCTGGCGGTCACCCCGCTGCAGCTCGTCCAGCTTGGCACTCAGGTTCATACTCATAACGCTGACCTGTTTCTGCAGACTGTCCCCACACACATAATCCCCGCGTGAATCTCGCTGATTCGTACGGGAGAGCGGATCGACAATATTGCCGAGCACATTGACACTAGACGTTCAAGGCTAGAGCTATTGCCTAGATCCCTAAGTTAAGTCCAACTACCTCCGCGCTTAACTGCCGAGCCTCTCCGCCTGCGAGACCGTTTAGCGCGGCGCGTTTTATGTGCATATGGTATCTATACCGCGTTAACTTAAAGTATGAGGACGTTGTGTAGAATGAAAGAGAAACGATTCGACAGGTGCAAAGTGCGGAATACCTTCACCCCCGAGAGCTCGAAAGCGCGGCGAGCCGGCGTTAGCTCGGCAGCCATGGGAAATGTTGGGTAGATGTTGTAATATAATAATACGTCAACAGACAGCTATATATATATACATTTTATAAATATATATATATATGAACAATCGGCTCTCTCTCTATATAGTATACAATATTATGTAATAAATATGTCAAATTGCAGAAAACGATAGCAGACAAAACACAAACGCCACTAAAAGCACGTCTAGGGTGTGTGTGGTGAGTGTGAAGACACTACAGTGGTAATATAGTATATATATGTAAGATATGAATACAAATATATTCTTCGCAGCTGTGCACATATTAGATGGAAGTTTGTGAATTCGCGTGTGTGTAGACAGACATAAGTAGATATAAGTGCCGCAATATTTGCTGAAAACGTCGGCATGATTATACTCTCCGTCCGTGAAAAGTCTAGGACCTCGCGAACCTAACCGTATCGCCTTTGTACCGCCTCTCTCCTGTATGCAATTACTTTTATCATGGCCATGATGCGTGAATGTGCAAGTGAATGAAAAATGACTGATATCTCGCACGCACTCTACGTGTACAAAACGTACCGTGAAGGATTATGAGGTTTTCGAACGATTCGGTGAATTGGCAAACTCATCGATCGATGTGCACAGCCAAGCAGAAAGGGTGACTTAAGATGAGAATGTAATAGAGCGAGAGAAAGAGAGACCGAAAATTCTGTTTTCTTTTTCTAAGATACATGATGAGCGATAGGTGACAGCAGAAATGAATGAGCACATGATTCGAAGGCGCGGGTAGATGAGATGGAAAGTAAAAGACGTAGGAAGAAGACAGAAGGGTAGATAGACATAGAGAGACGGAGGTATGTACACTTATCAAGCAAAGGACCGCACCACCTGTCTAGCCGAATAGCTGGGGAAAAAAAACAGGTTTGAGAAAGGCGGGGGATCGAGGTATCGAGGCTTCAATAAGCATCCCAAGAATCCATTCGAGAAACGCATTCAGGAACGAGTGCAGCTAATGACGTACGCATCCACAGGTCGAGAGATTAATGATCGTGATAATTGACTGTACTTTACGGTTTAACGAAGAAGCATAACCAAAAGTGGTACAATTCTATTTTTGATACGTGTACATAAAGACAAAGACAAGGGAGAGAAAGAGCGGGGCAGAGAGAGAGAGAGAGAGAGAGAGAGAGAGAGAGAGAGAGAGAGAGAGAGAGAGAGAGAGAGAGAGAGAGAGAGAGAAAGAGAGAGAGAGCAGTGATGATGTTGTCATGTACCTGGGAGGTAGGGAGACCATGGCTGTGTTCCGAAACTACAGTAGCCTCTATGCCTCCCCACTCACTCCTCTTGATTCAGTTTTCGTCTTATTCTCACAGAGATCTATTTGTTCTTTGCTTTGTTCACATACGACATATGTACGTACGTTGGATTATCCACCAAATCCAATCAATTGACTCTGAACTGCTTGTTGTCAAGTGGTTGTCCACAACGGTAACGTATACGGCGGGAGGGGGTATAAGGCCCGACGAAGCCCGCCCCTGCCTCCTCTCTTATCTCACTCTGTAAAACTTTACCTAGTTTGGAAACACAGTCGTGGTTCAGTCATAAAATCATGTCATAATGATATATTCGCTCGCATTTAGTAACCGTGACGTCCAATTCGCTTCTATATATATGTATATATATTTAAAAAAAAAGAAAAAAAAGAAGACGGAGCCGTCACGTGTGAAAGGGAGACCTTTCGCACATCACCATGCGACGCACCGCCAGCTTACTCACCCCTGCCTAGCCGCCCGCGTCCACAAGCGAGCTTGCACAATTCGAATGGCCCATCACTTTATGCGGAACGAACAGTCGGCAAAATAATTTACAAAAAATCAGCATGACCTCATGAAGTGTGATAAAGAGAACGAGACACGCACACAAATAAGTCACAGCGACGGCACATCGAGCAACAAGGTAGATGGTGCGTCGTCTTTTACGGGGGACTACGACACGCGCGGTCCTCGGCTGAGGCTGAGGAGGATCGTGCTCGTGATTAACTAATTTGCGTTGGCACAAAAGTGAGTGACAATTTGAGATACCTGGAACGCACACAAATTGTTGCAGCGAAATCCGCAACTCCCATCTGTTACGTCAACGGATTAGGATACTCTTCTTTTCCTCCTCATGCGCAACATTTTTTTACAATTACGTGGGTAATTTCGTTGCAATCGCGACTCTTTTACCGATGGCACAACGGGAATTTCATCGCGGGTCGCTTCGTTGAGAGCTAATTGCCTGTGTCCCGGTATATATGCCGTATATAAACCGGATGCCATTACCGGCTCTCCGGTTCTTCACTCTCCTCGTTTCGAGCTCTAGCGGTGCTATTGCGGGCTTATTTGTGCACCTGACTTCGAGAGGGAAACATGATTTTCGAATGGAATGAGCAATCAGTGGTAAGCCTGCGAGCGCCGCAGCCAAAAAATTCAAGTAACAACGGTATATATCGGTAGTGTCTGACCGTCGACCTGTTATGAGACCGAGGGTGTGTAGTATGTACAAGAATAAGTTTAAGAGCGAGTGTGATTCATGTATAAATGATGAATGGCATGGCACAAAGCCTTGCATTGCATTCTCGGATACATAGAGAGTCTATATAAAAATAATAAGCGGGAAAGACGTCCGTTTCTTTCTTCTTCTTCCTTTTTCCTCTTTTCTTTCTTTCTTTTTTTTTCGCCGGCGCGTGTTTGTCATAAGGTAAAGGCACCGCCACTTAGGCCGGAATTACCTGGATGCATTTGCAACACAGTTAGGTTCTCGAGAGAACGATGTTCATGGAATGGTTTACGGTCGTAAAAGTCGTTTTCGTCAGTGGCAAAGCTTATATGATCGATAAAATAAGTGTTATCGATTCGGGGGATGGCGGGAGGGCGCGCTTTAACACAGCGGACAAAAGAGAGCGAGGAGTGTCCCCTTGATTGGTATGCGAGTCTCGAGAGCTCATACACGCCGCTCTACCGGAGGTACTAAGCTAAGTTACTCGTGAGAGATTCAAAGGGCCAAGTCTCTCGTGACTGTTAACATTAGCACGATGGAGCCCCCATTATGCGAACCAGGCGGACGAGCGTGTTGAAATAACCGAATTCAACCGATAACAAGAAGGTATATTTGATACCGGATAAACGAGATAATTGTTCATATACATATGCACATAATTAATTTGCTTTGTTTTAGATAATCATAATTAATATGCCCTTCGCCCCTATGTTGCGCACGGGTGTTCGTGTCTCTCCATTATTTAATCGCACAGACTGTTCTTCATCATAATTTTATCGAACGAGGGACACGCGATTGTCCGATCGGGGTTTAAAAATATGCGACTTATATAACTGCGGTCAAAAGAACAATGTTCGAAATAGAGCAGATCGAGAATAAATCACTCCGCAGTTGAACGTTCGAGTAATGGTGACTCTATCGTGCCATGTCAGATTTAGGCGATAGGTATAGAGACTAAAAAAGGAAAACTTGCTACGCTTCACTCGTCGTGGAAAGAGTAAAGTACGATTTCTATACAAGGCCCTAAAAAGAGGTCACTACTAATGTGAAAGTCAATACAGAACTCTAAAAGGCTAGACTATGTTAGAATAATATTTTAAATAGAAATTCTTTAACACATTCGCTCGCAACATTCGCGGTGTTAATCCTCCACGACCGCAGTGGTCGAAGAAAAGAGATTATGTGCAACATCGGAAATGCAATTCCCTTAATTTTACATGTTATTTTTGAATCGTCGAAACCGGTGTGCGGTCGTGGAAGCTTAACAATTCAACTGGCACGAACAATGCGAAATACTGGTAAGCTTTTAACCATTTGAATCTGATTTTCATAGTCATATAAGTGGGACATTTTTGCAAAAAGCCGCGAATAGTTTGCAACGTTACGGCCGCTGACAGGAGTTCGCGATGGCGCAGATCCTTCGCAAACTTCTGTCGGCGCTGCCCAACGTTCAACAATCCAGATAATTCTTAGAGACATCGGTGGCGACGCCAATTGTCCTTTGGATAATTAGTGTTTTGACATCTGGTTGTTATGAAAGCCTTGTTGGGTTCTCTTTTTCGATGGTTACACGAGCCCGGAATAATTGTATAAATCAGCAATAACGAGCCACATTTCAAGGATAATTATCCTTTGGCGTAACGTAAAACCGTAAATCTTTCTCTTTACAATCGTAAGAAAGCAACGTGGTGTGCGACATAACTGGATTGTGCATTACAGATCCTCCAGCTTCTCAAGACGAGAGAGAGAGGAGAATGCAATAATCGTCCAACGGCTCGTATCTCATCAACAAAACTTCGAACAACGATTCTTCTTCCTCCTGGCGTGGTGTGGTACGGAAGTTGTATCGATAACGTGATAACCGATGATTCAGAGTGGTGTACACCGACAACTGAGGGATTGAGGAGCGAGAGAGGGTGAGGAGACCCGTCGTCTACCGCGTACGTAGAACGTACCTTACGAGCAACTCCCGTAGAGTGGCTTCATCGTCCTCCTGTACCTCTTCCTGCGTCTCATTACTGTACGAGCCGCGACTATGGTGATGATGGCGATGTTGCCTGCCGGTCGTCCTGCCGCCGGGCGGATACTGGCCGTGCAGTCCGTGATGGTGGTGATGGTAGTGCGCCGCCGAGGCGTTGGTGCTGGCCGAATGCAAGTACCGGGCGACGGTGTTGCTAGCGCTCGCTCGCCCCCTGGTCAGCTTGTGGCCGGTAGCCGCAGGAGGCGGCAGTATGGCGCCTGTACCGGACTCCACGTGGGTCCTGCGCGCGGCATAGCGCTCCTCCTCCACCCTGACGAAGATGTCCCGCTGGCGCGCACGATCCGACAACCGCCGATCGACCGAACCGCTGCGCGATCTCGCGCCGCCGTCGGTCCTGCTACGGGGGATGGTGCCACCCCTGGCGACGATCTCCTCCCGGCCCGATTCACCCCAGAAGTCGCTGCTATCTCCAACCTGAACCCCGAAGTCGAGGCTCCTCCTGCTACCGCCGACGTTCTCCTCCTCCTGCTGCTCTTCCTCCTCCCCCTGCTGCCCAACGGCGGCACCAGCCGGCCGGTCCGTATCCTGGGACCGGCCCGGGATCTCCTCGTAGAGACACTCCGAATCCTGATCCGTCGCTGTCGCGCTCTGCCACAACTGGTTTATTGGCTTGAAGCCGCGTGAATCGGCCATCGTTCAAGCTGCGCCCATAAGACAGAGACGGATGCCGTGACAGGATGGGCTCTCGATCTCGCTCTCCTCTTTACTTTTTTTTATTTTATCTATTTTCCTCTCGTTTGCGCGCCCGGCGCGACAATTAACGATTCTATACGGTGCCGATGGCGACTCTTTCGTGACTCGCAGCGGTCGCTCGTCTGCGATCATTCAAAATTTGTAACGCAGAGACATTTGGCGAGACGGAGCCGACAAAATGCGCGGGTACGGCGAAAAACAATGCGTATTCGCAGTCGCGCCGTAAAGAGCCAACGCGATACGGAATATCTCGATGGCAGCGATACCTCGCTAATTGGCAAAATGTCGACTCCAGTCGGCGTTGCTTACTCTCCTCAAAATGAAATCTCGCAGAGCGTCTGCGACGTATTCGGCGGGCGCGCGCGTATTTATTAATTAATAGAAGGTATTTCAGGAGATATGTGTGCGCCCGGCAACGGCCGTCTGCGACGGCAGACGACGCGAAGAAATAATTCACGGGGAGTTTACGCGCGGCGATGCGCATACAAAGTGTGCAGCAGCACGTGATGCCGCTACCGTTGCTGTTGCTGCCGCCGTTGCTGCCGCTGCTACCGTTGCCATCGCTGCTATCGCCCCGCGAGCGGCTTTCTCGCTCGCGTTACTAATGATATGAGACGTCGTGCGAGGTAACGGATAACTGAAATAATAGCGTTTGCCTTCCAAAGTACGATCCCGGCGGAGCGGAAGTTGTCCCCCGCCCGTAGGGATGTAGACGGAAACAAACTAAACTCATCACATTCGGACGGCCGCTAAATGACTTGCAGCGACGAGGACGGGAGCCGCGAGCGGTTGTCGCCTGCAGGCGAATTACAAGGGGGGCGAACCGTCATCCTAAGAATGCACCGCGGCAAATTAACTCCAAATGTAAACGCCTTCCACCTTCTAGACGCATTCGATTGCACGCCGCGCAACATCGAATGGCACCCTCGAGTGTTTCGAGAGGAAAAAGGGCGATATTTTTACGAATGACAGTAGCAAGCGGTCATTGCGAGTAAAACCATTCTCGGCCCCGGGACGCATGTCCCGGCGGTAGCCGAGCAGCGATAAGGAAATAGGGCTGAATCATCGTGTAGCGTATGCAAGGATTGCCGCGGTGATGGAAGCCCGTAATTTGTAAGGTCCACTTTGTAGGGACTCGCGCGCAGGCAGACAGGGCTTCATATTTAAAGAGGACAAATTACAGACTTAGTGACTCTCCGCTCGCGCTCCAAAACTTTCCCGCGTAATGATTCAACGTCGGTCCCTTTTTAACGACGATACGAAAATAGCCCTCTGTACCGGGCCAGGTGGTACGTCGCGAGGTGTACGCGAGGTTTCGGGGATTTCCGCGCACAGAACCGTTTTACTCTTAATGACCGATGTATTGTATTCGCAGTACGCGGAGCTTTCTCTCTCCGAAACAGGCCATCTATCATAGATGAAGGAAATACAGACTCACCTTAAAGAATTCGCAAGCCATTGTGCCTGGCGATGATATATCACGACACGACTCGTTTCGTCTCGCACCTGCTCCACGCCTCGCTCTCGCCGAAGAAAGAACTCCGTGAGTCCGATCTATCAGCTATCGAGAGATCGCCTCGCGACGCTGCGTCGGGAGGGGACGGCGAAACAACACGGGGAAGGGAAAAAGGGGGTGTTGATACACGGGCGCGGTGGAAATCCCAATTTTCCACCGCGGGTACGGAGCACCGACGTATCGCGTCTTCAGAGGGATCCCTCCCTCCCTCCGATCGATTGGATTTGTATCGGGCCCGGTACAAGGCGGCGAGTGCTAGGAACCTGTAACAAACGACCAAACCATTAGCTTCGCCGGGCCAAGATTGTCCCCTGGAGTATCTCGTCGATTATGTATCGCCGTCGTCGCGAGATAACGAAATCCGATGTACGATTATTAGCTCCGACTCCAGCACTGTTGTCGATACGTCTCTTAACGCCTCAATCTCTTCGTGACGCGACGATTATTTTACACCCGGGAAAGTCACGTTAAAAGGAGCACAAGTTTAATGCGATTAAACTGTGAAATTGAAAAAAGTAAATAAGAAGAAGAAACCGTCGCGACCCGCTTATTCTTGGCGATAGTTGGAAGGATAGCGCCGCTTCCTTTACGTTACGCAAGGACATCGGAACGTAGATAGAAACCATTATCTAAAATTGAGCTATCGACAATTTCCAGCTGAAACGTCAGCTGGAGTTAACTGCGACTTAACGCGTTCTACAGCTCGTTCTTAGGACAGTCTTTAGAAATGACACAAAATCCATCCATCAGTTAAATTCAGGTGACGCTTATGGTAACGTCAGCTTTAGGCTCGCAACGCCGTCCCCGTATGATAATTTTTATTCAGAAATATTTCTGCGGGTTTCGTGAAAAATTACACGTACAGAAGAAAGGAGAGAGAGAACTTTGGCTCTCTGCTCTCGAAGCCCGCACAAACTTATTGTTCCCAGATCTTAGGAAGTCACTATTCGTTCCTGACGACGCGCGAACCTGTGACCTAGCAGGCAAACGGGCGAGAAAAAGACGGGCGGAGGAACTTTTTACAAATCCATGAACCGATAGAGAAATCATTGGCGGCAGGAAGATCACGTCTGCAACACGATCCTGGCCGCTGCGAGATTTTCTACCGGCTTCCGCTAGAACCACAATCTTTTTTAACTGCGCGCAGGTGAGATTATTTAAAATTACATATTCCATTGATTGCGTAATCAATGGAATTTTCCTCGCGTCTCCTCTTCCATACGACGGTATAGTCAGCCACGATATCTCTAGAAATTCTGACGATAGTCAATCCACTGGCTCGTCTATCCGATAGGTCTTAAAGAAAAAAAAGTTGCTAGATAAAAGTGTTAAGTCCCGAAAAGATCGTCTCGGGTTAGAGGTCGTCGCTACACGAGTTCCACGATGGAATTTTTAGACCTGAGAATTATTGTACCTAACAATGCAGGCCAGACATGGCACGAATATCGATATGCCCTTATCGCCAGTGTCAAGTCAAGGCTTCGGAATGTGTCGGTGTTCGACTCGGTTGGATTGCATCTCTCTCGTCCCCGCCGTGAATATTGCACGAGACCGTCGCTTTAAGATTTAACGCAACCATGAATAACCGAATCGGTCGAGCGGGACAACGGAATTCCTTAAGAATGTAGAATTGGCGCGCGGCGATATTCCCCCCCGTTAAGGCGTTCTCTCTCTCTCTCTCTCTCTCTGTTTTTTTTAATTCCACGTCCGTTTCTAATGCCCGGCGCGTGAAATGGTGACAATGCGTGCTGGTCGCCGGAATAGGCATCCGGTGTGCGACAATTTTCCCACGATAAAAACTCACGCGCGATTTATTCACTGATCAAAGTTTATTTAACCGTATAAAGCTTTCGGGCGTAATCAAGCGATTTCGCGGAGAACAAGGGAAAGCGATAAACACAATTCGATTAGTGGCATGGAAATACAATTACTCTTGTATCCCCCCTTTCTCCCTCCCTCTCTCTCTCTCTGTCTCTCAGTGTCTCTCCCTGTCTCTCTCTGTTTCTCCGTGTCTCTCTGTGTCTCTCCCTGTATCTCCCTGTCTCTCCTTGTCTCGCTCGCTTACGTAATTAATTAATTACTTATTTCCGACATTAACACACAATTAGCTGCGCGTAATAATCGTCCCGATAAGATAGCCAAATTGTAAAAATGGCCGGCATCATAAAAGATAATGTTGATGCCTTATAACGTGTCTTTGTCATTATATGTCGCTACCTAAGGCACATGTCTTGCGTGCACGGACTCTTCCCGTTAAGATAAGGAATCGGTACCGCCGAATGTCGAAGTTTAACAATAAAATCCGCGAATTGGCAAATATACAGTCCACCCGTGAAACGGTATTTCTCAAACGTCATAAATAACTCGTTCTCGTTCTGAATGAGTGTATAATAGCACACACAACACACGTCCGTTCCACCAGCGCCGTTGCCTAATCCAAAACAATGCAAGTAGCCACATTATACACAGTATCGGGCCATATTGCGGTGAAAGTCGCGCGTGAAAATTCTGCCCCGAGGAAATCCAAGCCGCATTCCGCCGAGCGGAAAACCAGTTTGTCTATTGTGATGATCTAAAAACGCACTTACTTGTCGCACCGAGCACACCATTCGCATTCTCGCCGGAGCGTAGAAAATGTCCGCGCTACCGACGACACGAGGCCGTAAGGTACGTCGCGCGCGCGGAATCGGGCCGCTGCAAGCACATCGAACGCTGGTAGCTGCGTGAAGAGCGTAGTCGCACGTTGACGCGGCTCCGAGCTGCACTGAAGGCTGCAATTCATTCGAATTTCTCTCTTTCTCTCTTCCCTCAGATTCTCGTCTCGGTTTCTCCTACCACCGGGTCACGTGCTGTCGCGCTTTGCTTTTATCTTTGTTCGACTAGCAGTAGCGCAGCATGTCCTCCTTTCATGACTGCCGTCTCCCACCGTCGTTTTGCCGTCAAGGCGCGCTAAACCCGACGGATCTCTCTCTCTTTCGCGGTTTTCCGCGGTATTTCGCAATCGCACTCGGAGATCGAACGTGTAATGTAGATACGTGACGCGAATAAATCGCGCGGAGATAACCGGATGTTCGTGGAGAAAAATTGTACAGCCGATTTCCTACGATGTTTATCAATTCTTTATTATTCTAGATCACGGCGCGAATAATAGAAACGCTCTTTACCGGGACGTTTCCTATTATGTTTCTAAAGGCCTGTGTCCATTCCATAAAAGCTGCAAGCTGATTGACTACACATTTCTCGGAACTAGAACTTGGACCGAGTTCTGGCATCACGGACGCGGGCCTTAATGTACGTTTTTCAATCTTCGACAGTAATTCTCCAAGCAAGGAAGTTGCGCGTTATGTCAGCTGATAAAAGTATACGTAAAGATATAATATTTATGACACTGTTTTTTTTTCTCGAACCGCCAAATGCACGCGAAACAAACTCCTCGCGGGTCTATTTTTCCCTCAGGAGCGCAAGCTCTTCTGCGTGACGAAATCGATTTTCTTTAAAAATATTTCTGTTGCAAATGATTGCAAATTAGTTTTCAAACCGATTCCTAAGCTCACTTATCCGAATATTTTTAACCAAGCGCGTCTCGCCAAGTACTTTTCAATGTTGATTCCTGGACTCCGTTAATTAAACGTTTTTCGACATGTGTCGACAAGAACTTTTATCTGTCTATTTAAATCGTCTCGCCTGAATACACTAGGAATTTCACTGCGTGTTTTATAAACGGCCTGTATAATGTGCGTCATTATGTACGCGCCGTAATGTTGATTTTTCATGTGCCCTATCTCTAGTCATCAGTTCTATAGCCGGCATTATTGCATAAATTAGCTTCGTTCCTATAGATTTTCGTGTGGAAATCTAGACGTCTGGTGCAAGACTTCATTGGCCACGTTATCGTCTCGTGTTAAAGAGAAAAATCGTGGCTTCGTTGTGCCAGAAAAGTAGATAAAAATTAGCATTTATATAAAGTCAATCGCCGAAGCAGTTTTTCAAATCAGTATCTCGGGGAAAAGTACTCTAACAAATTTGCATCAGTAAACATTTTTCAGAAAATTATCATTAATTTTACAGTTTAAACATGCTTAAAGATCTTGGCGAATAAATCTGAAATTAACGGGACTCGGTTCTCACAATGCAGAAACAGAATTTCTCTTTAATATAATAAACGTTTCGGCCCTTCTTCGGGTCTTCCTCGGTTAGACTACAATGAAATCATCGAAAGTACAAGATGAGAATACAGTAGAACTTATGTATTGGTACAACGATAATCAGTTACCTCGTTTAGAACGAATAGAGTTTATCTTAGGAGGTCAGAGCACCATCTGACTTCAGAATCATTCCTCTATATTAATATCAGTACACCTCTAAATGGCCCCAGACATGAAGAGGACTGAATAACTCGCATCGACAGAGGGATGAATCCGTAACAACGATGTTAAAACCACTGTGACATAGCAGTGTCGAACAAGGAGGAACTTAATAATAACGAAATGTGGTAAACATAACAGGGTAAAAAATTAGTCATGTGTCTCAACATTACCGAACAACAAAAAAGGCGATGCGAGTTATTCAGTTAGACTATTATCTGAAATTAAGTTGCATTAAAGTTTGCTTGAAATTAGACTGCGAACAAGACATTATAGCTTATTTAAGCTTCGCGAATTTAATTCACGAACGGCTCTTTATATCTTTAATCAGCTACAGTTTTTACCTATTAAGGAACAATCTACTTTAAATTGATCAAGATCCACGTCCTTTATGGATTTTTTCGACACTTTGTGTAGGAGTAAGGTCTTCCGACAACGGTTTAAAATAAAGTCCTTTGCTCACGCTCCAATTGACGCTCGTACAACCCAGATCGGTACTTGTACTGTAATGACCTTAACGAACCTCATTCCGAGCGTGCCTCGTAAATGTCACGGGTGTTAATTCATCCGCATTGGATGCAGCGTGCCTTGTAAGGAAAAAGAACCGGGGAAAAAAAGAGTGTCACGCCATTCCCTCTCGTAATCGCGAGCCCCGGCGAAATTTAATAACCGCTCGTTACCGCGAAGAACACGCCGAGAAGTGTCTGCGATCTGCGTCTCGAGACGCGGTTGTAGCAGGAATTTGCACGTGGATGCGCCGGAGAGGCTTCGCTGCGGAGATTCTCGCGATGCATCTTCGGCCGCGACGTCGCGGCCGGACAAGTTTCAGCCGCGGATTCGCAAAGTTCGCGGCGCGCGTCGCGTCTCCTCCTGACGAACGTACGCCCGCGACCTACTTGGCCCCTCGGTTACGTCCCCTCGATCATCCCCAACGCCCGAAACTTTTCATTCCCGCGACACTCGCCGCATGCACGACCCGATGCAAATTTCTGCCTTGGTCCTGCCTTCGCGCGCCCTTCTTTTTCTCGGTCCTTAATATACACCTCGCCCACGAAGTACGCGACGACTGCACCAATTTATCGCACGTCGTACCTTACCGGTTGTAATGAGGACTCGGTAATTGCTGTACGCTCTGAAGTAAACGTCATGAGCGTTGATTCATAAAGTGCCGAGGGGCAAAACCGCTGACTAAAATCACACCAACGCCTACTAGTGCCCAGTGAGCATTAAGGCCCAAACACAGTGCCAGGCAATAGGCAACAGGAACAGGAAATAGACTTTCTGACGTGTTGGATTGGTTGGAAGAAAATTTCCGACGAATCCAACACGTCAAAAATTCTATTCCCTATTCCTATTGCCTGACATTGTGTGATAGACTTTACTTTATCTTTATAATGCCCCAGCAAGGTCTAATGCCCAAGCTTCTTCTTCGTCTTAAATTAGGCTTGAGCTTGTCTTTCCGATCAATTCGTCTCTTGTTATCTGGATGTCCAGCTGTCCATCCATCTCTTTGGGGGTCTTCCTGGGGGTCTTCTGGATGTTGGTTTCCCATCTCTTGCTGTGCTTGCTATTCTCTCTTCCCCCATTCTGGATACGTGATCGTTCCATTCACGTCTTCTCCGTCTCACCCATCTGACGATATCTGGAACATCGCAGGTTTCCCGGGCCATGTTTTGCGGGCCATGTTCTTGGTTTTCTCGGTTTCCGCTCTTGTTTCTGCCGCATACATCATGATTGGTCGAACACAGGTTTTGTATATCCTGACCTTGGCTTCCTTCCTCGTGCATTTATTACACCGAAATCACTATGCCCCAAACTAATGCCCCAAAAATACCCAGTAATGCCGCAAATCTGTACACCACAATGCCCTCAGCGGTTTACCCCTCGTGAAGTGCGAATCAAACAAAAGTACGACGCGATTCTATCTTTTTTAATTACAGTTTTAATAATAAAACGTTACTCCCCCCCCTCTCCCTCTCTTTCTCTTTCGTTCACGCGAAATATGAACACTTAAAGAGATTAGAATTTTTTGTAGACGGTCTATCTTTCGTTATAAATACATAATTTTGATTATGCGCGTTGAAGAGAATGCAGGAAGTGGTTCTCGTCTAGGCGAGAGAGTATGCCGGGCGAAGAATTGATCTCCCCGAAGCAATTTTTGCAGAACAGCTATTCCGCTCCTGCCGTTTCCGTCGCGGCTCGCTAAAGGCCTGCGTCCACGATACTAAAACTTGGTCCAAGTTCTAGTTTCGAGAAATGTCAAGTCAATCAACTTGCAGCAATTCCATAAAAGCTGGAAATTGATTGGCTACACATTTCCGGGAACTAGGGCCATGTTCGCATCGTGGACACAGGCCTTGATGAGCAAACCGCGTAAACGGCTTCTAATATGAGATAGCGAGGCTTTTGCTAAACTAGGCATCATCTGTTGGTTCTACCGTGAACCTATTACCTTTGGAACGTGATCTGTTTAGTGGAAAATTGTTAGATTCGTGAAATCTGATGTTAAAAACCTGCCGTCTTATCTCAAAGTAGGGGGACTTTTCTCTACGAGTCTGTTGCGATAATTTTTTATTCGGAAAATATAAAATAACGCGCTACGAGTCGCGTCGCATTTCCGCGATCGGTAAGAGCCCGCGGTCTTTATTCGACTCAAGATTTGTCCTACTCTGCCCGGTGCATTAAGAACGTTAATGCATACGTAATGCATTAATACGCTCGTGAAGATGCATGGTGCAACTATAGACGCGCCGTGTAATCTCGTATCGACGAACGAAAGCCCGGATTGTTACGGTATTCCGGTGACCCATCTCGAGCCGCGAAAGCCGAGGCCGCTGACATGACTAACGAGATTAACGTCCCGCGCGTCATTAGCTCGTTCGGTATATGCCCCCTTAGATAGATACCATCATTTCGTTTTCGCCCCATTACGAGAGGATACGCCCGGGAAAGCGTGTCGCAGATGCGCAAAGGCGATTCTTCACGCCGACGTATCGGTCTCGGGGCAAGTTTTTCCGAAGCCGAAGCGACGATGGAACGATGGCACGTACCGCGAATAAAATAAAGAATGAGAACTCTTCGCGGGGCCCTAAATTAATAATTTTCAGGAGCCCCCGGCGGAAGGATAACCGGGCAAGGAGTTGTTATACATTTTTTAAAGCGTATGAGCGGCTGTATATCTTCCGGGATACTCGCGGAGTGAATACGCCCCTTCTCGAGCGGTCGAATATTTTCGAGAGTACCTTTAATAATTGACGAGCGTATCTAGGATGAATTATTCCGCGGGGCTTTTCTTTAAACGGATAATAGCTCCGAAAGTGGAGTATTAATTTTCGACAGCGGCGCGACAGCGCGCTCGGAAATCAACGGGTGCGCGAACGCACGGCGTTGCACCTCGCGAAATTTATTCATTCGCCCGTCGAGTGCCGGGGCGGATTTGCCCGTTTCCCTTTTTCGTTTTAACAGAAACCTGATTTGCGACTACGCGATATCGAATGTCGAGATTTGGAACGTTGCAAGCGATGACCTCTCCCGACATTTTCGCTAAGGAAAAATTAACCCCCCTCCCCCCCGGCCAGGAGCCAGCGCTATATATCGATTGTCTGCCAATTCTAGGACGTTCTATAGATCCGCCCATGAAATAAGAACGCTCTGATACGATCATTAGCCGGGAACTAACGGGTTGCCGGGCCGCGGGTTAAAAATGAATCCCTCGCACCTGGGGCACTGTGGCGGGCGCCGCGAAATTCCGAGATTTCTTCGTACACCCCCGAATCTCATTAAGCAACATCGGCGGGAGTCACGCGAGCGTGGCGAACGCGATTCCGGGGCTCCGAGCGCACGGTCGCGCCGGGTGGAGTTCCTCGCCACTGCAATGTCGGCGATTGGAGAACGCATCGTATCCAGATACTTCATTTGTCGTACGACAAAACTTTAAGCGTGTTGATTGGCCGCTGGATAGAACATTTCTAGACACTCGAGAATTTTACTACCCTGCAGTCGACACACTTGAAAAATTTGTCGTACGACAAATGTAATATGACTGTAAGGCTAATATTGCATTTGTCGTACGACAAAACTTTAAACATGTTGATTGGCTGACGGATAGGAAATTTCTAGACACTCGAGAATTTTACTACCCTGCAACCAGTCAACACACTTGAACAATTTGTCGTATGGCAAATGTAATGCGGGATATACCATGCGAGTCGCAGAATCGTAGTCGTAAGAATAATCGACTATGATTGGTCAATTCTTATGTGTCTGACGGGATTGTCCAATCGCAGTCGATTATCCTTACGACTACGACTCTGCGACTCGCATTGTAGACCTCGTTTAAGGCTAATATTGCATTTGTTGTACGGCAAAACTTTAAGCGTATTGATTGGCCGCTGGATAGAAAATTTCTAGACACTCGAGAATTTTACTATTCTGCAGGCAGTCAACACACTTGAAAAATTTGTCGTACGACAAATGTAATATGAGTGTAAGGCTAATATTGCATTTGTCGTACGACAAAACTTTAAGCGTGTTAATTGGTTGCCGGATAGAAAATTTCTAGACACTCGAGAATTTTACTATCCAGTGGCCGATCAAGACGCTTAAAAAAGTTGCCGTACAACAAATGTAACAACACCCCAAGGCTGGTATTAAGTCTTGTGTCCACGATCCAAGAACTGTGTCCAAGTTCTAGTTCCGGGAAATGTGTAGCCAATCAATTTGCATCTTTTACGGAAAAGCTGCAAGTTGATTGGCTACACATTTCCCGGAACTAGAACTTGAACACAGTTCTTGGATCATGGACGCAAGGCTTTTGTAGTACGACACATTTGTTGAGACAGAAAAGTTTTGACTAACCGAGCACTTTTCTACCCTGCAACCAATCATCGCGCTTAAAAAATTTGTCGTACGACAAATGTAATAGTACCCTAGCGCGATCACCGACGTTTGTTCCACGGGAGACTTCCGGTCGTTTCCTCGTACGCGGTGCGCGAATAACGGAGGTAAATTCCTCAACGAATCCGATTTTCCCTTGCGGCATTATCATCCTTCGCTAGCCGAGTCCTAACTGAGACTCCCTTAGAACAAATTTCGCTTGAAATTGAACGATGAACGTGTCAATTATTCGCGCACTATTCGTAACGGCTCGCAAGTTACGCCCACGGAACACTCTGTGCAGAGGCAAACGACAAGTTTTACGTAACAAACGTGATCTATTTTCCGATCCATCTTCCCCCTCGTGGCAACTTCTAGTCGCGCGGGGAGAACGTAAAGGTCTAGATCAGCCCGAGAGATCGCTGCCGCGAATTCGCATCGCGGGACCGGAGGACACTCTCGACAAATTCCGGGGGAAAGGGGGGAGTGAAAAAAAACGGAAAAGGGGAAAGGAAAGTACAAGACGTGCGCTATCGTGTGCGGGAGGGGTAGCGAGGGTGCGTTCGCCGTTCGTTCGTTCGTTCGTTCGTTCGTCCGTCCGTCCGTCCGTCCGTCCGCCCATCCGCCCGTCCGCGAGTCGAACGCAACCCTCGATGGCTCGAGTCGACTCGAACGCGCTCGAACGAGGGTAGGGTCGCAGCAGCCCCTCGCGCATTTCCCTTGGACGACTGGCAGCCCGTCGCTCACGTTATCCGCGCGAGTTGCACGAAGGCACAAATCTCGCCGTTCTCCTAGGCCGATCTTTTGCGAGCGCCGCACGACGTTGCGGACGTCTTGTATTATCGATTGACGAAAGTTATGTGGAGGGACTCGCCGCCGGGGCACGGCGATCGTGACGCGAGCGAGCGGGCGAGCGAGTCGGGGCGAAAAGGGAGAAGAAGAAAAAGGAAGAGAGAAAGATCGGAGCGAGCAAAGAAATTCCACCCTCGCCGCCCTCCCCCCCCCCCCCTCTGTCTCTCTCGCTTTTCTTCCCTCCCTTTCTCCTCGCTCCACACGCCATTCTCAACGCTGCTCTTTCTCCGATTTCCTCGCACCCCCGCCGTCGTCCGCTCCGCTCTCTACTGTCGAGAAGGAGCAAGGAGAGACGAGACGGTGTCCCGTTATTCGATGCGGTACTCAGGGGTGCGGATTTATATCGCGAAGAGGGACGAGGAAGGCGAGACACGGGTCTCGGGGATGATCGCACTCACCCTCACGGGGTTAGACCGTCGCGGTGGAAGCCTCGTTGGCAGCGCGGACGACGAACATGCTCGCGTCGGAAACGGCAGTAGTGGCAGTGGCGGGACTGGCGGTGGCACCCACGATGATGACGGCGGCGACGGCGGCAGCGGCGGCGGCGGCGGCGGCGACGGCGGCGGCGGCTGCGGCGGCGGCGGTGGCAGTTACGACGACGTCGACGACGTTGTACGTGGAGAACGTGACGACGGTGGCGGCGGTGGCGGCGACCGCACCGCGAGCGACGTTAGCGTTGGCGCCAACTGACGATAACGACGATGACGGCGACGGCGATGACGATGACGACGAGTAGTCACTTCCCACCTCCGTGCAATCCGGGGAGGGCACCATCTCCTCCTCGCCCGTGCGATCGCGTGCACACCCGACGACGACGACGACGCCCGCACTACTGCTGCTGCTGCTGCTGGGCCATGCAACGATGATGACCACCACGCTATGACACCACCGTGGTCGCGCTACCACACCGAGTAACATCGTCGCAGTGTCATCGTCGTCGCGCTCCTCGGCGTGCGCCCCGTTTCGCGTGTTGCTGGCCGATACCCGCTGCTGGCGCTCGATCGCGCCGCGTACGCGTGCGACACGGGGTGGGCGCGCGAAAGGAAAAAAAAAGGGGGAAAGAAGTGTCGAACGGACGCACAGGACGCACGCACTCTTTCGTCGCTCTCTCCCTTTCTCTCCCTCGCCCTCGATCACTCTCGCTCTCTTTCTCTA